GCGCTACTTTCCACATCGTATGCTCGTCTTTCTGGCCTGAAGCTGCGAATCGGTAGCCCAACGGAATCTTCATTCTTTACCCCTGAAAAGTCGTCTGTTTATCACCTTAACCCACTTCCACAGCTCCAATGCGATAGAAACTCAGATAGCTCACAGTATTCGCAGGAGACGCAGCCAGATGAACAAGGCACTCGTCTTTCCACATTCTTTTCCGGAGACCTTCATAGTGCTGATTCGCGGATATCTTCGGCGATGTCGAGTACTACCGACGGTCAGGCCACTCAGCTCTCTACATTCTTTCGTGAACATTTCCGTTTTGACCGTGCTAATGACAAGCGTGAAAAATCGCCAGCCATCCCAAGTACCCTCTTTTCGGACGATATCAGCCTCAGCAGGTATCCCTTTCTCAACAGACCACCTTCATTTGTTCCATCGGACAGATACGCACCGTCTTTTGTCCATTCGAGGCGGGTATCCCAAATCCTTCCTAATATGAAACATGAGGTTTATGAACCCTGTCGTGGTTGCAGCCCGCTCCGCTCCGCCATCCTATGACAGACTCGCTCGTATCGCCATACCCCCTGTCGATCTATTCGCAGTACTTGAGAGACGATGATCCGCCTCCCCTGCCGAGTATGCCAGCGGCCACCTATGAAACATCCAACCGAAAAGCCTTCCAGCTTCCCTCGCAGGTATTGTCTGCAATGCGGCCAAATATACCGAGCCCAACAGCTGATGTTCCAAAGCCGTTCTAAAAGTTGATCTATTCCTCCTCGCATTTGGACTGTCTCTATTTATTAGTTGCATCTTTCATTATCTTGCTCTTGTTATTCTTATTCGTCATTATCGTTTTGTCGTTTGCGGGCCCACTTGACTTTCCTTCGATGTTCAATTACACAGGCTGTAATTATGTTTACGCGTCCTCAATGGTTGGTTTTGCAGTTCACGTTTCGGTTCTTCGGTTGTTTCTTTGCGTGTACAGAGTTCTACTTTTAGGTTATATAGTTTGAAGGTCCATGTAATTCCAGTCACATTTTTGGGCGTCTCAAAGGACTAGATCTCCGTTTCCCCATCCAGCGAGAGCCAAGTGAATCGAGCCTGGATGGGAAATAAAATCAGGTTAATTGTCTAGCATCATTGAATCGAAGGTAGTCCTAACTTTGCGATAGTGGGGGAAATATTCTAATTAGCAAGCTGCTTGCGAGAGTCTGCTACGGGAGACAAGGGAAATATGTCACTAAACCCGGATGATCCGACGGAGCTGACGCGTTTACATGGTTATAGCTACCTCTGTCGGATCACTGACCATTCAGATATCAGCAAGATGAGCTCAGCGTACATCTTGGCTTACTTATGTTTGCTCGAATTAATAAGACCAGGGGACAGCGTACATCTTGGCTTACCGTTTTGCTAGCGGGTATTATTAATTAATAAGACCAGGGGAGGTATATAACTTGAAGTAAGTGGCTGCTTCAGACCCAAATCATATACTTACACTACATCGTTATCGTCCACTATGCATCTCATCATTGGCACTGGAAAAGTCGGGCTCCCGCTCTCTCAACTCTTTCACGCCTCCAACATCCCTGCCCTCTCTACCAGCCGTTCGGGGAATGTTCCTTCCCCACTTACCGGCGTTGCATTCGATTGGAATGACCCCTCGACATTTGATAATGCCTTTTCTCATGCAAAGGGAGCGTCGGACGTTATACAAAGTATCTTCTTGACGCCTCCTCCGTCTATTGATATGCTCCAAGCTATGAAACCTTTCATCGATTTTGCTGCCAAAGAAAAGGGCGTGAAACGATTTGTTCTCCTCAGTGCTTCCTTGATGCCTCTGGGTGACCTTGGGCATGGAGCAGTGCACAAATTCCTCCTGGAGTCGGGCGTAGAGTATGCATCGATTCGGCCTTCGTGGTTCTTCCGTACGTGCATCTCTTCATTTTCGCAAGCCCTTTGCTACGTTGAACTGATAACCATTCTCTGCAGAAAACTTCAACCCTCCCCCCGGCTTCGTATTCTACGCCGACTCCACAAACGGTGACAGTCATCTCCTCCACAGGCTCTTCTAAGGTCGGGTTCGTCGACGCGCGAGATATTGCAGAAGCTGCGTTCCGTGCCATGACTGAGAAGGAACCGCTGAACGGGTCATACATTGTGTTTGGCCCCGAGTTGCTCAATTATGCGGATGTAAGTTCCTTCAGGCTGCTCGAGGTGATTATCGATTTACTTACTCCCTCTGCTCGTTTCTTAGGTCGCCAAGATTCTCTCATCCGTCACTGGTCGGCCCATCACCCATCGCAACCTCCAGCGCGCGGAGTTTAAAGAGCACGCAATGAGATTGATGCCTGAGCCGTATGCCGAAGCAATGGCCACATTCGAAGATATAGTCAAAAGTGGCGGCGAGGAGAGGGTTTTCCTTGATGGAGCTCCTGGAGAAAAGGAGAAGGAAGAAATTTGGAAGGGAAAAAGAACATTCCAAAGTTATGCTGAAGAAATTAAGGATACGTGGACGAAATAAGTGAATTACAAGCAGATCATATAAGTATTTAGGATAAATACAACGCAGTTGAACCCTTCTATACCCCGAATAACGAACAGGCGGGTCTAAGTAAGTATACATAAATAAGTGTACAAAGGATTAGAATATTGTACGAGCGCATTGAGGGGTGCGATGAATAGTATGTAACATGAGGATAGTCTAAGGACGAAGTGGGACAAGATAGTCGTAATTATAGGATGTCGTCGTAATATAGAGTCAAATAGGGAGAGATGGATGATACTTCGTCTTGCTTAAATGCGATTCACGGTGAGGACCGCAACTAATCCATCTTGTTCGATCCCGTGGTTAACACCGTCACTCCCTGGCTTGAGAAGACCCTCGACCCATTCTACTTCTGCTTGCCACCAGCGGGAATTCCAATGTGTCGGAGAAGTGGCTTGTCCGACGAGAAAGTCCCGGCCAATATTGTATCCATCGGGTATGATCTTGTGGTGTTTGCCAGAGTTCTGGTACAAAAGACATGAGAATCGTGGATCAACATGAAAGGAATATAGTAAACCTCTTCCTTGGAGACACCCAAGAACCATGCACCAGTGTCAGCCTGGGTACCATTTTGCTTCCACGCACGGAAGTGGTTGCCGCCTGGAAATGAAGAGTCAGTCGTGGGGAGGAGGAGATGGGGGAAGACCCCAAACGACGTGTTTTACACCGCGTGCGTACCTGCTAATGATTCCCAGCATGTACCCCAATCGGATCCACCTGTGAAATAGTATTGTCTTGCAAGAACCTGTTCATCCTGTCTATAGTTTCCGTCCCCAAGATTGGCTTGATGAATGGCACCAAAGTGCAGCCCAAGGCACTCGCTTGAGAAGCCAAGAGATCTATGGATTGGGATTGGTCAGAAGTCTTGAGAACATGGCGATTTTTAATTACTTGACATAGACGGAGAAGCCAGTTTCAGTCAGCACGTATGGGTCCGATTTACCAGACACAATAACGTTGAGAGGCTCTCCTTTATGAGGAGTTGTGAACTACAAATGAATTACAATCGACGTAGTTTCGTAGGAAATGGGTATACTCACATCAAGCAGTCTGCCTCCTTGAATCCTGGGGTCCACCCATCCTGCGCTCAGGTCAATCTCCGTCACTGCTCCCTTACGCTCAGATATGGGGACCTGTACGCTTGTGCTCCAATCAATGCGCTGACTTCCTTCCCATGAGGTTGAAGATAACGGGGAGGCCTCCGAGACGATAACGAGGACAGAAAACAAAACTGTCCTGATAGCGCTGCGCATCTTGAACGTACGTCGTCAAAGACTTCTGGAGCACGGATAGCGTATTCGGTCAAGTGGGGAAGATGGGAGCTCTAGTTAAGTTCCGGGTTATAGCCTGTTATAGCATAGCATCACAGTGGGGACTGGTCGCACGTGGGAAACACGGCGGTGCCATCTCGAGACGCGCCGCATTTGCTAAGTATCACAAGTTTGACAACCTTCTACATTCTTCTGGATACATTCTTCTGGATACTTGCTGCCTGACCGCTGTCAATGGCACCTATCTATTTCAGGTCCTTAGTGCTTCAAGTCGCTCAGAGACCGCTGAATTAGGACTTGACTGAAGCTCTAACGGATAGCTTGGAGTTATCTCAAGGGCAGATCGATACGCAAGCGAGCTTGCCATATCGGAGTCTGTTTTAAGCCTGTAAGTAATGTTTGAACGATCCATGACTACGCAGTGTTACCAAGATGTATTTTTACGGAGAGAGTGCTATACCGAGACAAAAGTCTCCTGGACCGAGAGGATGAACGACTTGCAGGCAAACTTTCGTTACCATTTACAGACTTACATGATCGGAATATCACCGAATTTCCTATCTCGCCAACTGGTGTCAAAGAAACTCAAAGGAGCACGACAGCTGCCTTCTACCTCTTGCCCTTCCCCACTCTTTCAAGCCGATCTGAATTAGGACGAGACTCTGTTAGGTAACTTCGTGCGGTTTTTTGGCCTTCCTGGACCTTTCACGCAAATCCCGCAGACACTGTCAACCCACTTGACGTGACCGTCGAGAGGAGTTTGACTTATGGGCCGAGGGCCCTGTCGTACACTAATCTCATGACGTTAGTGAATTGTTCTCTAGAGCGATTGAGCGACTGATTCCAGGTTCCAAAAAACATGAACCAGTGAGCATGCGCAGTCTCCGAAAGCAAGTACTATGCTCATACTCACATAGACACTAATTCATTGACGCGGGCTGTAAAACAGCCCAGTAGTACTTAATAGCCACGCGCGTAACCTCTGCACTCATTGTGGATTGCAAGTCTGTCATGGTATATTGGTCTGTTGAATTTACAGTCTCCGGCTGTATTGCGGTAGAGCATCGTTAAAAAATAAAGGCCGCATGAAAGGCCGCATGAAAGGAAGAAGTACAGTACTCTACCATTACCATATGAATAGTAAAAAATTTATGACAAGAAAAACAATTGCTCTCACCATCTTATGCCTCCTACCAGATTCGAACTAGCGACCTTTCCATACGACTATGCTGTACAGCCACAGTACGAGTGGAACGCTCTACCCCTGAGCTAAGAAGGCGATGGAAATGGATGAGTGACCCAAATATTGACAGAAAACGAACAATCCTTCTTGCACCTAAAATTTGCGTCAAGATGACTCTTAGTCTCTAGCTCATTGTAGCCATAAACAGTTCGGTCAGAGTTCTCAAATACATAGCGAGTAGAGTCCGAAGCTTCGGGGCATCGCGACAGTATCCCATTATATTAATGAGGGTCGACAAACTTGCCAAGTATCTCGATTTTCGGACGAAATTTCACCGTCACGAATGGCAAGCAAGAGCTTTGTTCAGGATAACATCATCCTTCGTCAATTTCGCACTTCTACCAGGGCGACTAAGAAATGCATTCACAGTGGCAGTAATCGACAACAGATATCGAAAAACAGAAGTATATAACAAACGGGCAATACTCTATGAGAATAGCTTGTTGACCGAGGTATTGCTGTCTTGGTTCTTTTTCAAAACCTACGCAAGAGTTGCAGTTGGAATCAGCAAAGAGGAGTAAAAGCGATCTTACCTTTGCGACGGCAAACTCAAAGTCTTCCTGCGTAACGTGTTGTCGACGTTCTCGGAGAGCGTACATTCCTACGCAATGGCTCAGCATGAGTCTTAAATACGACATAGCCAAGATACTCACCAGCCTCTGTACAGATACCTCGGACCTCTGCACCGGAACATTGACCCATCTTTTCCGCGAGCGCGCGTAGGTTGATCCCTCGTTGAAGCGACATCTAACAAGAGTAGTTCATGAGAAGATGTAAAGCAACGAAAGCACGTCGCTTACCTTCCTAGAGTGGATACGCAAGATTGAAACACGAGCCTCAGGACCGGGTGGCGGGAACTCGATCTTTCGGTCAATACGACCAGGTCGAAGTAGGGCAGAGTCAAGGATATCTGGGTACGAGTCAGCCAAACAAAATATATCTCATTGGCATCTTACTCACCAATTCGATTTGTAGCCATGATCACCTTGATGTTCTTCGTGCTCTCAAATCCATCCAGCTGGTTCAGCAACTCCAACATTGTTCTCTGCACCTCCGAGTCCCCTCCGCCACTACCACTTTCCCCACGAGAGCTACCGATAGAATCGATTTCGTCCATGAAGATGATTGACGGAGCGTGTTCTCGTGCCATGACGAATAGCTCTCGAACCATCCTCGAACCCTCTCCAATGTACTTTTGCACCAATTCGGATCCAGATACTCGGATGAATTTACAGTCGGTATGGTGTGCGACTGCCCTTGCAAGAAGAGTTTTACCCGTTCCGGGAGGTCCATATAAAAGTACACCCTTTGGCTGAGCGATACCCAAGCTCTCAAAAAGCTCCGGATGCTTGACAGGAAGTTCGATAACCTCTTTGATTTCTTTGATTTGTTTATCCAAACCACCGACCATCTCGTATGTCGAGTCGGGAACTTTCTCGACCATCATTAGCGACACAAGAGGGTCAATCTTGTTGGGTAGGATTTTGTGAATGGTGTAAGAGTCGGAGCGGAGGGCAATACGGAGGTTGGGTGTCAGGGCGTTGATGTCGATTTCAGAGTCGAGGTCGACAACTAGAAGAAGTAATTTAGTGACGATGCATAAACCAAAACAGGGTACATACTGTATTTCCCTTCTGGCTGGACTTTGACAAGGACCTTGTTCTTCCCCATCACTTTCACGACTTCACCGACATAGGAACCTGGCTCATGCAGAAGCTGAAGTTCTTCCCGGAGTAAACGCACTGAGAAGAATTAGCAGAATACTTGTGGCTGATGATGGCGAAAGGCGTACCTCTTGCATTGAGGGCATTTCTTTGTGCTTCTAATCGTCTCAAGTTCTGTGTTTTCTGGTTAATAGTGAGTTCGGCCGCTTCAATCTTGGCCTGGTAGTAGGCCTTGATTCCACCCGGAACTGAAGGAGATTTCGAGTCTACGGTCCAGCGAAGAGTTTAGCATTGAATCGCAAGTAGATTACTGAAATTCGTACCAGATATTGGTCCTCGTATTGGTGCAGGCATGAGAATTGGTGAAAGAGAAAATAAAGGAACTGACGCGTACGCGTGTACATCGTGGGAATATCCGCCACTCTGATTCTCGCTTTGGGTAATATTTAATACATCCTGCATAATTATTATTAGCGTATTTTACATATGCCTTTGCAAGATCCACCCCCAAACTTGTGCTCGCGGTTTCATGTTCTCCTCCTCGTACCTTCCGGTGTACTAATAGATACGGAATGTCTTCCGCCCTAGACATTGGGATCATATAACCGACCGTGTTCCGATTACTCTGACCCGTGCACCGTTTATCCCCACCTGTTTCCTGATTCATTTTACCTGGATATCCGGGGTTACCTGTCCAATTGCATTGCCTTCTTAGCTCAGTGGTAGAGCGTTGCACTTGTATATGATCACTTCAATTCATGTGATCCACAATGCAAAGGTCAGTCGTTCAATCCGGCTAGGAGGCATTAGTTTATGTCCATGGATGGATGACGGATAGCTTTTTTTTCTGTAGAGCTTATTGAGTGAGTGTACCATTGAATTATCGTTTGCTTGCCAGTGCGTCCATAGGGAATTACAGGAGCCGCGGCGCACCAAGCTCTTTCGATATTCGGATAACACAAAACGTTTAGCTGAGAGTTATAGCTCCCTCGCATAAAGGAGGCCTCATGAAGACGACTGAAGGCTTGTTCCAAATTGTTGTTAATACGGTAGCAGGCCTGACGAAATTCGGAAGCGCCTAGAATATGCATTATACAGACATGACCTGTGGAAATTGGTTGCAAGGCCAGTTTCTCAAATGTACATATTCTTCCGCGAAAGCTGAGGTCACACTCAAGAAGTCGGGAGACTACTTCGTGTGAGACTGGTCTTGTAGGTCCTGTAGAGCTTCAAGTTCGAGTACACCTTTAAGGATAATAAAAACATAAATATGTATGTGATACTTGAATGGCTAAAACAGCAAAAGCGACTCCGAAAGCACATCGCACAAGTCCCTCAAGTATCAGTATTGTCCAAGTTCCGCCCATGTTTGGTAGAGAAAGTAACACCATACTTCCCTCTCACTCACTCGACGACTCATTCGTCCGCCCGAGCCCTATATTGCCTAACGAATCATACTTCAGATCATCCCTTGCCGACCCCATCCTCCCAAGCGAGTCAGCGTACGGCATAGCTGACATCCCTCCCCTGCTACCGCTTGGCCCCATAGTAGAGCTTAAAGATCCGAAGGCTGGCGGAGGACTGCCGGAACGGGGAGGCGAAGTTTCCTGTAAGGCAAATCCCGAACCGAAACTTTGCATGCCAGACTTTACAATCACATCGGAAGCGACGTCGGTGCCATACTGTTCTGCAATTTGGCTACGAAAGTGCGTAAGTCTCCTAGAAACCCGTGCGATGGAGAGATACTCGCTTTGTATAGTTATCCACTATAACCCTCATCGCGCTTGGGTTCAACTGATACCTCTTCGGCATCATACCCTTCCCAAACCGGTATGTGACGTGGTTGGAACACAAGAGGCCCGCGACGATAGCACCGATCTGGACAGGAACAAGGGAAAAAACGACCGTATACCATCTTTCCAATACATCCCTCTGAAATTTGACGTATGCAAGCTTACACCCGGGTAGCACCGACCGAGCGTAGCACGTCTGTGAAATGGTCGCCTCGATGAACGGCGAGAACCAGCCACAGCAGTTCAGTCGGTTTTGGACTCGTAACCGGCCAGCCGCCCCAAGAGCTCTAGACCACTCAGAATTAAGCTTGCCCTCCAGATTGAAGGTCCTTTTCTTGTAGGTGATGTAACCTGGAATAATCAAGAGCGCAAAGGTTATCCAGAGGAAGAACGTGTATACAGCGAGGAAACCACGGTTGTTGAGTAGGATACCGGCCCAACCAATGATGGCGGTGAAGAGACCGAATGAGGCAGCGAGAGTGCTGAATACCAGTTCGGTGTGATTGCCAACGCGGATAACATCGGCATGGTGAAATACGTCGAACCAGGTAAGAAGGCAAACGATCATGGCTGCGAGGGTGTACAGTGAGAAGATGGTGTTGGAGAAGAACAAGATCCATTTGAACATGTTCCAACGGAGTTTCCTGTCCTTTCTCGAGAGGCCTCGAGATTTTTTTCCGCCAAACCACCAAGACCTGGATACGTTAACACCGTCGTAATCGTCGTCGTTTTCATCGGGCATCCTGGATTCGCCGCTTCTGAACGCGTCAGTGCCACCTCCCCGAGGTATTCCCATCGCTCCAGTACCAGTCATATTCTTTGGCTTCCTGCGCCGTGGCCCAGATGGACTGAGGAGGGTCGCAGAAAATTTGGCGGGAACATAGTTGACGGTGAGAGAGAGATTCGAAGCGCTTCCATCAACAGAGGCTGGCCGTGAACTGTCTGTCCAGCTTGGTGACGACCTGAGCTGATTTGGTTGGGCGAACGGAGCAGAAGGAGGACGAAATTCAGCATCGGAAGGAGGAGTATGGTCAGCGAGCATCATTCGAGAAGAAGATGAACGCAGGTTTGAATAATCGCCAGAGCTATGGAACGTGTAAGGATCGTTGTCTGATAAAATAATTCCACTCAGCGTACAAGTCCATTCAGCACAGAGCAAAGGATGGGTTTCAGCAGCTCTGAATCTTTTTTTTTTTTGGTGAAAAGGTAACCAGCAAGTCAGGGGATGCGGAAGAAAATAGCAGAGACAAGTACGTATACTATTACTAGTTCTCTTGCTTCTTGTTGCCAAGCCGAGAATGCTACCCATTACGCAAAGGCCAAAGCGAGAAGCACGAGACTTTTTCTTCTTCCTCTTCCTCCGAATAATTAATCCACTCAGAGCTCAGAGTCAGGCCTCAGGGTTTCATTTTTTTTCCATTTGCCAAAGCTGAGAAAGCGTTCAAGAATCCTTGTTCATCCAGGAAGACTCCGATTTTACCTACGGTTACCGTTACTGCCGAGAAAAGGAAATTTGACCAACTCCTAAATATGCATGAGAGTGACACAAGCTGTTTGGCAGCAGTTAATTTGATTTCGGCCGAGTTTCGAGAGGAGAGGTATGCAACAGCGTCCAAATCCAGCTGGATTCGGACGGGTCTTGAAGCTTTGAAGACAGGCTTGAAACCCTTTAAGGTTTGAACGTTAAGCTTTTCGTAACAAAACGTTAAGTAAGTAAGTATGGCTCGAACAACTTTGAGTATAGCTTGAAGAGAACCGAGATACTGAGGAGATCGCATAGAAGTCTAGTCCAGGTAGGGTGACTGACACGTTTGATTGTTTTTTGTATTCAAATTTCAATGAAGCGGCGCGTGAATGTTACTTATAATTATAATAACTGGATAGATACACAAATGGTAGCCGAAGGGGATCATAGTATGTATGTGCATGATGAATTCAACACCCACTTCTCACAAGCGAGAGGACGAGGGTCCAGCAGACTCGGCGAAATCAGTCAACTCTGTGCCGTCAGAAAGCCCTGCTGCAGGGTAAAGATCTGTCGTAGGACTAGTTGAAAATGTGCTGTAAGTCCCTATGGAACGTGAGGTCTTCGTGCCTAGTGGCATATCTGTTCTTGACCCTACAACGTTCGAATTGAACACCAATTCGGAGCGCGTCGTTAAATCATCTATCCCGCCCGATTGTAGGATACCGTCGGCCGCTTTTTCATGAAGATTTAACATTAATCGGAGAATCATCATTGCAGATATGCTGGATTGAAAGGTGAATTTAGTATGGAAACGATAGGACGATTGAGACACCGTACTTTCTGGTCAACGCGGACATGCCTGTTGACTGCGAGCAAGGATAAGGCAGGTAAATTGAAGCTGTCAATCAAGGCCAGAAGAAAAACCTCACCCCAGTTGCCTGTTCAGAGCATCAGCAATGAAAAAAATACTGGTCAAGGACAATCTTGAACTCACGGATAAAGCAATGTTCACAGCGTGCACACAGCAGATGACCCTTCAGGATCAATGAGCATGGTTCGCTTTTTAAAACCGACAAAATCGACATACACAAAGTACACCACACCTAGGCGCCATCATCATTACGCTGGCAAGAACGAGGAAGGAAGTCCAGACATACCATCTCGAATCATCAAGTTCATTAATGGAATCTGAATATCCATCTTGGCGTAAGTCTTCCTGGTTCGGTATGACTTGTAAACTGTAAGACAGAAGATTAAGCTGTCGTATGTTAGGGCGCAACTCCAAGTGATGGCCAGGTCTAGAGAGGACGACGCCAAAGTACAGTGAGTAGGAGTGAAATTTTTTCGGAATTTCTTTAACATACATGTCGCTCTGGAGGAAACTTCTCAGTTCTAAATCATCGGACAAAAAAAGATATACACACTTTTCTTCCACGAAGTATCGGTCACAGACTATGCCTGCTAGTAGCACTGTGCCCAAACTACTAACAACAACTGACCACTGATACACATATCAGACACATCTGAGTAAATTTTATGCTGCACTTACCACCACTACAGGTAGGACAAGTGCTAAGGCACCCCAAAGAGTCCATAGGATGCGCTTACTGCACTCGTACATTGCGTACACTCGCATTGCCAGAAGGACTAGAATCGCAGTCAGTTAGGTCTTCGAACCAGAGGAATTTTGAAACACACTGGGGACTATCAACTCTACCACCAGGGTGTACACGTTAATAAATGTCTCGTACAGGTTGCAACTGTGGTTTTATCACAAGTTTATCAATTTTACATTGAAAGAAGCGCATGCGGGAGAAGAGACTCACGTCTAAAAGAGATGGTAAGATTGTGTCAGTTTCAATCAAAGAAGTCGCGAAAAATATACAGAAAACATACATCGGCATTACTTGGGGGAGGGCTGAATCTCAATACAAGAACAACGATTTCCCCGCATGTCACCAGATATCTCAGAGCGAAAAACCAATATGAACTACGTCGTTTTGACTGGTTCCAGATGTATTGAACTTCCAGATCTTGTGATGATTGGTTAGAAAATCGTATATATCATCATATTGGCGAATGGTGAATAGTGAACCGACCCAAGGTGAGGAGATGATCGTACAAAAGCGCAACTGAAGAAGGATATCAGGATGATTGAAATCGTGAAACCCTGGCATTGTAATCGCAAACCTGGCGGAGCTATCATAGCCGTTCCTACCCACCTGTACAAACGTTATGAGAATCTTTCAAGTATCGGAGCAGATACACTCACCAGTACCCGGCTGTCATCTTTAGTAGCAATCCAAGGAAGTACGCCTACACCGGTTTCCAAAATTGAGGCAAAGCGAAGGGAAGAGAAATGGGCGAAGTAGGGCCGAGGTGAAGAAGCTGAAGCTGAAGGACCGCCTCTGATAGTGTGCATGTGCATATGGCCATTTACTTAGCTTCTCTTGAGCAATCTAGACAATCACAAAAGTGTTTGGGAAATCTGATCGGAGCATTTTTACCGTATGGGCCCAGCATTCCCTGGCCGTCGGGTCTCAGA